CTGTTTGAATTTCATCCTGGGGAGAACCCTGCATATATGTACCTCGGGTACATATCTGTAGTACCTGTTACGACAACGACCCCTTGAGCCGTATTAAGACATACCCAGTGTGTCAAATAATCAGTTTTTGTGGGACCTAGTAGTTTGTAATGCTGTGAATCCAACCAAATGCATTGAATTATCTGGGGTAAATGTAAAAAAATAGTCAATTGTTAAAGTTTGTCAAGTATATGTAATGCATTATTTAATGTCCCAAATCTGTGTTTATCACAGCCATATGAGGTTTTATAGCCAGTAACGCAATGGACATACGTTTACCATGCATAGTTTAACTATGCAGGCCTGTAGAAAAGAATTTTTTGTTTGTTGCAGACATACACTTTGACAAGAGCAATTAAGTACTGATTTCCTGTTGTCGCGAATAAAAAATGTAGCACAGTACTTGCAGCATCATTTATAACTTCCCCATATATATACAGATAGCCTATGGAGTGGCTGCAGTTTGCATTACCAGGTGATGGGGCTGCCTGCTCGAAATCTGTCTCTGCTACCCCATCTTTCCTCTCTGTTTCAGTGCATGGTTTCCAGTAACATATATGCGAACGTTTGTGTTTAGTCCAGAATTGGCTCTGGGTCACAGAGCTGGCCCAACAACGTGAATCTGGGTCATAGCTGCGAAAATAAAACTCGTTAAAACACAGGCTGTATGAGGTTAGTCTTACCAGCTCAGAAATTCACATCGTACCACTTTAACTTTGTAAAACTTCAAAAACCAATCGGAGGAAGTAACGCTAGTTAGGTTTCCCAGATCGACATGTAGGTTAGACACTGCTCAGTGTGTGTCTGTGTAAGATAAACACTGCCCAGCGAGTGTAGAGTGGTGATTCATTATCGGAAAGTTAGAATGCTTACATAACAAATCTGTTGGTTTCAGATGTGGTTGAAATTCTTAAAATGGTTGATGAAGGTTCATGTAAACTGGTTTCTACAGAATTTAAAAATTAGTCTTGGTGTGCTGATTGCAACAATGCAAGCACATGGAGCACAACATTTAGAACTAAACTGACTATTGTTTCATTTTTTGTAATGATGTCAACTTAGGAGGCAATATGGTAGTTAATAATTTAATAATAATATTCTCACAGGGTTCTCCAAGAGCACTTATAGGCTATAGCCTGGCGGCCCGCCATGCTATCGTCGAGCCCCACCACTCTAAATATCATAGCCGCCATGCTAAATATCATAGTCCCCGGACCCCCTAGCACGCAAACCACGTCGGATATCCTTTTGACCCTCAAGAGGAGGGTTAAACATGGATTTGTTTAGGGCCTACTGTATAGAAAGAAATTTGACTGACGGGTTTGCCTAGTAGAACTATACATGCCTGGATGTAATGAGGCTACAGATGTCACAGTGAAATTTCAAAGCTAAATTTGGTTGAAGAAGGTTTATGCTTTTTAAATCGTATAATTTCTATGGCATAATTCTGTACTGTCAGTGCGTTACATGTAACTTATTATGCCACTGCCAGTGCAATGGTGATGATAGTACAGTGTAGTTTTTGCCTGCGTTAATTAGTCACAGTGGCAGCTCTCCTATTACAGCCTGTAGCTAGGCTTGCGTTGGTAATGGATGAGATGCTTACCTATTTGTCTTGCAAATAGTTGTTGCTATACCACGCGTACGATGGAGCTTCCCATCTTAATCTTAAGAGCATTCAAACATACCGCGCCATCTCGTGCAACTTTCATAAAGATCCCAACGAACATTTCTTCGAGAAGGTTCTGATACATCCTAGTGTTCGAAAATCAGGGCTATCCATTTGTCTACATTGCCATTTCCACGAGGACAAGTACGATCTGTTCGGTAGCTTGTCCGCCGGACAAAGCAGCTTTTTAGAGCAATTTTTTCATAAATTTGCGAGAGGCGAGGGAAGAGAGTGAGAGGAGAGAGAGAGAGCGATGGAGAGGAAAGAGAGAGAGAGAGAGAGGATAGAGAGAGAGAGAGAGAGAGGAAGAGAGAGAAGAGAGAGAGAGAGGAAGAGAGAGAGAGAGGAGAGGGAGAGAGAGAGAGAGAGAGAGAGACATAGAGAAGAGAGAGAAGAGAGAGAGAGAGAGAGAGAGAGAGAGAGAGGAAGAGCAGAGAGTGAGAGAGAGAGAGACGAGAGAGAGAGAGAGAGAGAGAGAGAGGAAGAGAGAGAGCAGTGAATAGAGGTAGAGAGATGAGGAGAGAGAGAAGAGAGAGAAGAAGAGAGAGGTGAAAGAGAGAGAGAGAAGAGAAGAGAGCAAGAGAGAGAGAGAAGAGAGAGAGAGAAGAGATGAGAGAGAGCCGAGAGAGAGAGAAAAGAGAGAGAGAGCGCGCGAAAGAGGGAGAGAGAAAGAGAGAGAGAGCGCGCGAAAGAGTGAGAGAGCGCGCGAAAGAATGAGAGAGAAAGAGAGAGAGAGCAAGAGCGAGAGAGTGAAAGAGAAAGAATGAGAGAGACAATGAGGGAGAGCAAACGCGGCGATGTGAGGGTGCTCTTGATTCGTTTGCCAGTGAGTTTAGCATCAGAACACCTGCCGTCAGGTGAGCGCTGTTGCTCTGCGGCACTTGTTATCAATAGTATGTGTGGGACAGGTGGGAATACATATACAACATGGAATTCCTTGAAAGGGTTGAAGCGAGTTAGAGCAGTCATTGCGGTTTTCTTTCAGTACTGTAGCATGGTGAAATTCGAGCCTTGAACTGCACCATGCAGCTGTGTACCCTTACTCCTCCTGTACATTTTATAGCACGTTAAGCTTGTGTTAAGGTTGTGTCGCATGTGCTGATGCTATATTTACTTGTTTATTGCAGTGCGATATGGCCTGCAGAGTGGAGTCAGACAGCCTTGGTGAGGTGGAGATACCAGCAGACAAGTATTATGGTGCCAGCACAGTTCGATCACTTGTGAATTTCGCTATAGGTGGCAGTAGCGAGCGTATGCCTGTACGTACAGATGCGTTATGGTGGTCGCATTCTACTTCTGGTGGGGTTATAGTTTCGATGTGGCTATGATTCAATCTCATTAAATTGTTAATAAATATGAGAAAATAAAACCAGATACTCGGTAAATACAAGAGCATGTGTGCATAGGTGTGGATGTGCGTATGTGTGTTATGATTTCGAGTACAATGCTATGATTGGTGAGGTACAGGTATACTCATTCTCATCACAAAGATCACGTGACCACTGGCTTTTGATTAAATTGCACCGCCATAACAATTAAACGAGAGCAATTTTCATCTGTCTGGTGAGATTGAGGTATATATACTGCATACTGTTTGAGCTGCTATCACTGGTTGCATTATAATTCATAACCAGACAGCACAACATTTGTGTTTACAGGTGCCAATCATCAGAGCATTTGGCATATTGAAGAAGGCTGCAGCTATTGTAAACAAGGATTATGGGCTTGATGCAACACTGGCTGATGCAATTTGCAAAGCCGCAGATGAGGTATTTTTGGATTGACCACATCCCGAGACGCTACTTTCCTGACATGATTATACACATTTCATAGCCTGAATCGTGGTATAATTGTGATTCTGAATGTGATTTCTTAAGTTAAGCCTGGCGCACATTGTCGAACATTTTCCCGAACAAATGTTCGTCCGAACAAATGTTTTTGTCTGGCAATGTGCGGGTGAACAATTGCTGAGCGCACATTGCTGAACATTTTGCAGCGAACAACCTCGTGGCGCCGTCTAGTAGCTTTGTTGTAAAGAGTCACGTGATCGGCGCATGATTGGGCACAAAAATCATGTGACCACATATCGTGCTGCTATTGGTTACTACTTTACAAATGTTCCTAGAATTGTTCGACATTCAGCGCACATTGACGAACATTCGACGAACAATGTTCGAGATATCAATTCCGATCTTCAGAAACATTGTTCGGAACAACTTTTTTCACCGCACATTGCCGAACATTTCATGGAACATTGCCGAACATTTCATGGAACATTGCTACGATAATGTTTTTAAGCAAAATGTTCGGCAATGTGCGCCGGGCTTTACCGTTTGAAGTGAGGATTTCACATGTTTTTACCAACCGTTTTCATTTTTTCTTGACCCTTCCTATACTTACCGGTACTCCCTGTATAACGCCGCTGTATATCTCTGGCGCAGGTCGTATGTGGGCTCGTCACACTATTTACACCCACCAGTTTTTTCCCCCAAGTCGCTATCACATTCAACGAATCCTTCTGCGCTTGCAAATGCGAGGCGCCTCGAATCACGCGTCGTCTGTCGGCTACAGATGCACGGATGCAAGGTTCATTGTCTCGCCGTAGACGCGCAATCTCCGTGTTTATCGTCTCCCTGACGCCGCGTTCTGTTGTTTTTCACACAGGTGGCGTCGGGCGCACTCGACGACCACTTCCCGCTCGCCGTCTGGCAGACAGGTTCCGGCACGCAGACGAACATGAACGTGAACGAGGTGATCAGCAATCGCGCGAACGAGATTCTCGGCTCGCCGCTCGGTGCAAAATTGCCCGTCCATCCGAACGACCACGTCAACATGAGTCAGGTGCATTACCGTGACGACGATGCTGACGACAAAGATGATGATGACAAACTCTCTCTCTCTGTAATGCTGGGGCCCGTTGCCAGAAAAAAATTAGTCTTAACATTAACCTTAAACTTAAGTTTTTCTCTTAAAGCGTTGCCAGAAACTTCGTAAAGTTAAGAGAATTAAAAATTCTCGTAACTTTTCTCTTACTTAGAGATCCTTAGACACCTTCCCTTATACTTTGAATATGTAAGATAAAATAACACATTTAGACTAAGATATTACAATTATAGTGATATATATTTTTATTATTAATGCAGTTAATATCATGTTTTTTTCTTGAAAAAACCGTCAAAAACATTAATTATCTACCGATCGTGAAGCAAAACAAAAGTGTCCAAACATTACATAATTGCCGTCATGGCCTTTGTTCTCTTGTTTAATACATTTTGCCACTGAAACCACCACGACTCTCGCGTCTCGTGAGAATGGCGTACAGGTGTGAATTTGTCTTGTCGTGCAGACACCTTGTGTGCAAGAATAAATTCAAAGACGTTCGTTTTTCATCAAACATTATTTATATGTGTAGCCATCTTCATACATATGCATTTAAATTACTGTGAATGTACAATAAAGATGTATGAATTTGAATTTTGCGTCGCATCTTCCCATCATATCAGCAGCTTGTGATGACAGTTCCGTTTATCGTAAGTTTTCACTAAGTAAGTTAGTTTAAGTTGGTTTCTCGCGCAACGCATTAAAATTAACCTTAACATTAACATTAGACTTAAAAACTTAATCGTAATTTAACAAAGTTATTCGTGGAACGGCCCTTGGTGTGTATGTAAACGTATCCGGTGTGTGGCTAATGACGACGAAGATGATGATAGCCTCTGCTCTCTCTCTGTAATGCTGGTGTGTATGTAGACGTTACAGGATGTCGTGACAATGACGACTGAAGATGATTGATGACTCTCTCTCTCTCTCTCTCTCTGTAATGCTGTGTGTATGTAACGTAATAGGTGTCGTGGCAATGACGACGAAATGATGCAGACTCTCTCTCTCTTCTCTCTCTCTGTAATGCTGCGTGTGTATGTAACGTATAGATGTCGTGCAATCACGATGACGGCAAATAATGTGTGACTGAACTGCTTACTCTTCTCTGTAATTGCTGTGTGAATGTAAACGTTATTAGATGATCGTGACAATGAAGCGAATGATGATATGACTCTCTCTCTCTCTCTGTAATCTGGTGTGTATCTGTAACTTATAGATGTGGTTGACAACTGACGAACGAGAGAGGATTGATGACGAACTTCTCTCTCTTCGTGTAATGCTGGTGCTGTATGTAACGTATAGGTGTCGTGCAATGACGACGAAGATGATGACTCTCCTCTCTCTTCTGTAATGCTGGTTGTGTATGTAACGTATAGGTGTCTTTGACCAATACGTACGAAATGATGATGTCTCTCTCTTCTCTCTCTGTATGCTGGTGTGTATGTAACCTATGAGTGTCCGTGACAAGTGACGACCGAAGATATTGGATGCTCTCTTCTCTCTCTCTTTATCATCTGGTGTGTTATGTAACGTATAGGTGTATTCGCTCAATGACGACGAAATGATTGAGACTCTCTCTCTTCTCTGTAATGCTGTGTGTGTTAGTGTAGTATAGGTGTCGTGACAATGACGACGAAGATATGATGACTCTCTCTCTCTCTGAATGTTCGGGATGCGTGTGTATTGTAACGCTTATAGGTGTCGTGGCAATGACGACGAAGATGATGATGACAGAACTCTCTCTCTCTTGTAATGCTGTGGTGTATGTAACGTATAGTTGTGTGGCAATGACTGACGAAGATGAATGATGACTCTCTACTTCTCTCTCTCTGTAATGCTGGTGCTGTATGTTAATGTATAGTTGTCGTGACAATTGGACGACGAGGATGATGAACGTATCTCTCTCTCTGTTAATGCTGTGTGGTATGTAACGATATAGTGTCGCTGACAATGACGACGGAAGATGAGAATCTCTCCTCTCTTCTCTCTCGTAATGCTGGTGCTGCTATGCTAACCTATAGGTGTTGTGACAATGTGACGACGAAATGATGAATGAGTGAACTCTCTCTCTCTCTCTCTTGTAATGCTGGTGCTGTATGTTAACGTTTAGATGTCGTGACAATGACGACGAAGATGATGATGTCTCTCTCTCTCTCTCTGTAATGCTGGTGTGTATGTAACGTATAGGTGTCGTGACAATGACGACGAAGATGATGATGTCTCTCTCTCTCTCTCTGTAATGCTGGTGTGTATGTAACGTATAGGTGTCGTGGCAATGACGACGAAGATGATGATGACGAACTCTCTCTCTCTGTAATGCTGGTGTGTATGTAACGTATAGGTGTCGTGGCAATGACGACGAAGATGATGATGACTCTCTCTCTCTCTCTCTGTAATGCTGGTGTGTATGTAACGTATAGTTGCCGTGACAACGACGGCGATGCTGACGAAGATGATTTTCTCACTGCGTCTTGCAGAGCTCGAACGACACGTTTCCCGCGGCAATGCACATCGCCGTCGGCACGGCGGTGCAGCAGAGCCTGCTACCGGCGCTCTCGCTCCTGCACGACGAGCTCAGTGTCAAGGTCAAGGCCTTCGCCAAGATCATCAAGGTCGGCAGAACTCACACGCAGGTGCGATTTTGAAAGCTTCTTTTGCCACTTTCGTCTCGTCTTGGTTCGACGGTTGGGCGTCGCCGATTTCGAACCGCGACGACAAGGGATGCCAGGGCTGCTTGCACTTGCCTGGGGTCGCCTGCACTCAGGCTCGTTCCTCAGGGTGAGCTCTGGCGAGAACTAGAGGCGTGGCAAACTCTTGCCTGCGACCCTCGGTACTCTTTTCAGAGTTTCACCTCGAGGCGTCGTCAAAAGACGATGTCGTATTTTGCGTAAGCGAATGTTGCTGAACTGTACCTGCGACCGAAAGTCCGGCTGCCAAGCCATCATAACTTGTAGTTGCCAAGGGTCTGCTGTTGCCATCCGAACTGTAGTTTGTGGTGCAATAGTGGCTGTGGAGAGAGGAGCGGAGGCAACTACATGAACAGGATTCAGGTGAAGGTACACATAATGTTCGTGTATATATATGTATCAGGAGTGGATAATAGGGATTATAGGATAGAGGGATTATAGGATATAGGGATAGTGGATAATAGGGATCCCTATTATCCACTCCTGATATACATGTATATAAGTTTTGTTCTTTAAGCTTTAGTTTTCCTTTGTTTAGGATGCAACGCCACTGACTCTGGGACAGGAATTTAGTGGCTACGCGACACAGGTTTTATACAGTATCGAACGTGTGAAAAGTGCATTGCCTAGGATTTACATGTTGGCAGCAGGTAAGATTACAAGAAGATAGATACTCTCTTATTACTCTTATATAGGATGAATTAATTTACACATGAAATTTGTTTGTCAATAAAGCATTTGCAATTTGCAGGAATAATATGTGTATGTGATTATACATCCTTTAGGGGGAACAGCGGTTGGCACAGGTCTCAACTGTAGGGTAGGATTTGCCGAAAAGATTGCAGCTGAAATCGCTATGGCAACAGGTATCTATTATATTTGCCATCCATTTTTTAAGCAGTGTTGAAAATGGGAGCCCCTACAGCCTGAGACTTTTGAGCCCGATTACATACGAATTTTACTATAGATCATATAGGGCCACCATTTTTTATTTTGTTGGTTTACAGAATTTTTGTTGTTGTTGTTGACTCGGTAGGGTAAAAAAAAAAAATTGTTGTTTTGTCAGATCAAACAAGTCAAAATACAGTGATACTGTTATACATGATATTAAAGTATTTTAAGAAAACTAAATGAAAACAAAACTCAACTTGTAATTATTTTTACTTTTATTATAAACTGTTTGTGTATGAAATGTTTTTGTTTTTTACATTTACATTTTTTTTATTCATATTTCTTAGAGAAAAGGTCGGCGGGAATAAAAAAATACATTTTCAATTTTTATTTTTTTTCGTTTTTCTTGAAAATTCGGGTCGGCGGATCTGTAAACCAAAAAAATAAAAAATTCTCGCCTAGTAAAGATAAACTTTTTTTAAACCGGCACTGGCCGTGTTTTTTAGACTCGTTTCCAGGATTGGTTTGAGTATGTAATCGTAACAGGTATTAACTATAAAAGACTATCGTCATGTGTTTTTATTTATTGTGTATTTACAGCTATTATTTTAAGCTAATAATTTTCTCTGTGTATCATTGTAATCCAATTTTTGACTGCCATCAGTTGGTACTATCTCCAGTTGGTTGGTGATAACGTTTTCTAACAACAGGTGGCACCACCGTGCAACCACAGCAAAATGATCTTTTTTTATCACGTCCTTGCTTGCACTTCACCAAGTGGCCTCGGCACAGGCATTTAAGCCATTTCAATAATAAAATGATAGTAACTAAACACAAACTGCATTTTCTATCAAAGACTGTTACTTCATTCAATGTTTATGTGCTCTCTATCACCTAATAATTCCTCAAAAACGAATAACTGAGTAATCGTCGTGCGGCAGAGACTGCGTAAACATCGAGCCTCTAGTAGTAAACACAATCTTCATCTAGCATGACTTTGTCATCGATGCTGCCCACACACCCGAGCAGACCATCACTTCGTTATTGACGCGTCTCACACCCACGGTCCTTCGCCGACCATCTTTTCATCATCGACGCCTCTCTCGCACACGCACGCTGTCCACTCGTCGCTTTGCAGGCATTCCGTTTGTGACGGCGCCGAACAAGTTTGAGGCGCTGGCCGCTCACGACGCGCTGGTGGAGCTGAGCGGCGCGATGAACACGACCGCCTGCAGTCTGATGAAGATTGCCAAGGACATCATGTTTCTCGGCTCGGGCCCGCGCTGCGGACTAGGAGAGCTCACGCTGCCCGTGAACGAACCCGGCAGCAGCATCATGCCAGGTACGTGCGGCGCGAGGTCATGAAGTCGTGAGGTCGCGAGGTCGGGCCCGCGCTGCGGACTAGGAGAGCTCCGCTGCCCGTGAACGAACCCGGCAGCAGCATCATGCCGGGTACGTGCGGCGCGAGGTCATGAGGTTGCGGGGTCGCGGGGTCAGTGCTGCGCGGGGTCTGGGGGTCGGTCCAAAGACGGGTGCGCAGGGTCCGGGGTCGGTCCCGCACAGGGGCCCACGAATTTTTGGACGATTTTTTTTGGGGGGAGACGAATTTCATTAGAGCGTTTGATTTCGGTTTTTCGTCGAGTCAGCTGTCCGTTAGAAGTTCCGCGTCGTTCCAACGGTTTCGCTGATCGGAACGTGCAAGTTGCGCGCGACGCGGCTGAATAGCGGACGACGTGAACAGCTTGCTCTGTTTGTCGTTCAGTCGACTGTTCGTTAGAAGTTCCGCGTTGTTCTGATGGCTCACTCCACTGCGTTCTTGCAGGCAAGGTGAATCCGACGCAGTGCGAGGCGTTGACGATGGTCGCCGCGCAGGTGATGGGCAACCACGTCACCGTGACGATCGGCGGTAGCAACGGTCACTTTGAGTTGAACGTCTTCAAGCCGGTGATGGCGAGAAATGTGCTGCAGTCGGCTCGCCTGCTAGCCGATGCCTGCACATCCTTCGCCAGGTATCGTCTCACGTATTGCGTCTTCTTTCTCATTCACGCACGAGTACTGTCTCACATATTAAGTCCCCTTCCTCATTCATGCATGAGTACTGTCTCACATATTGCGTCTTTCATTCATGCATGAGTACTGTCTCACGTATTGCGTCTTCTTTCTCATTCACGCACGGCGCGAGTCCCTGGGGGGTCGGCTCGCAGAAGACTGGTGCGCAGACGGTCGCGGGGCCGGTCCCGCAGAGCACGGGAGGGCGCACGCTACCACCGAAGTTTTTTGGAAGGCTCAAGGCGGAGCCACGGCGATTTTTTCGTTTTGGGGGGAGGCGAATTTCATTAGAGCGTAGGTTTGATTTTCGGTATTTATGTTCGGTCGAGCGGGGAGGCGTCAAGAGCCTATGGCCGGGATCAGCTGTCCCGTGGTAGAAGTTCCCCAGGCCGTCGTTCCACACTGGAAAGACGGAGAGCGCCGAAGACAAGAGAGAAGTTCGGCTTCCAGACGGTCGCGAAAAAGAGAAAAAGGCAAAAAAATGCCGGAATACTCGACGGTTTTCGCTGGATCCCCGGCAAACCGGAGGGTGCCAAAGTGCCGCGCCGAGCGGAGCGCGGTCGAAAGTATAGCGATCCAGGGACCGTGGAACTAGCTATTGCGTCCGGGGGTGTGCTGTGTTTTGTCCGTTCAGTCGAGAGCCGGAGAGACGTAGCTAGGTTCGTATTGGGTGGGTGTGGTGTATCGATTGGTGTGGAGCTAGAGGATGCGGCTCAGGTTCCGCCGAGTTGTGTGGGTGTGCTGCGATGTTACACAACAGGGCTCACTCCATGCTAAAGACTTGGACCAACGAACGTTGCGCGACCTTGTTGAGTGCAGTGCGTTCTTGCATGGCAAGGTGAGATCCTGACGGCACTGTCGTTCGAGGCAAGTCCCAGAATGTGTGGGTTGAGCGCCGTCCGAGCGAATGCGTTGACGGATGGTCCTGCCGCGCAGAGCTGAGGTGTTTCCGGGGACAGACATGCCGGAGCTGGTGCAACCGGGCTGCGGATGTGAGGCGCGTATCGCGTAGTAAATCGGTGTCTACCGGCATTTGAGTTGAAAGCGAGTCTCAAGCGAGCCGGCTGATCGAAAGAGAACATGTCTTGCAGTCGCGCTCGCCCGCTCTGCCTACCAGACGTGCCAAGCCACATCCCTATCGGCCAGGTCCACGGTTATGGCGTAGTCTGCAGTGTGTTTACATGTTCTGTCCCTCATTCACTGGCAGCCGCGCACATCACTAAGCAACGAGCACTAGTCATTGAAAGTTACTGTTCTATCAGTTAGTATTAGCGATGAACCAAGACTCCTCAGTTCATGCACTGAAGTACTTGTCCACATATTGCGTCTTCTTGTCTTCTAACTATTTACGGCGGTTTATCTGCGAATGATCCGATGTGTGGGCGGAGCACGGCCGTCACCCAGGCCGCCTGCAAAATGACAAGAGAAGCCGGTGACGTCGTCTCTTTAATCGGAAATACGTGGCACGGCGAGGCCTGGTCAGTGCTTGCAGATACACGGAAGGGACGTTCGAGTCGCTGTATTATCCGCGTGGAATACGTGGCGCGGCGAGGGCCATGTTCCAGTGCTGTGCAACGAGGAGAGACGTCTCGTTTTTATCCGAATCCGAGATGACAGTAGCCACGAGTAGCTGGTGGGTCATTAAGTGTTAAGTCCCTTCCCCATACCATAGTGCTGACGACTAACGAGGCGCCTTCACGCATAGACGTACAATACTGTTACCTCCAACCATGTCATTTAGTGCGTCACTGATAAGGTCAATAGGCCTACACATAAACGTGCGACAACACCTACGTGTGCATGTAGGAAGAGCAATCGTTATAGACAGGCACCTGGGTATGATGAGGAAGACCATTGCACGTGAAAAGCCACTAATTGTGATGTGAATGAGGAAAGGACTGTTAATATGTGAAGACAGTACCTCGT